TGGTGCGTTCAGGTACAACGTGTATATTCAATGATCCACATTAGAATTTTAACAGTAACCCACAGAACTTATTGTGTCTGTAAAATTTAATCATGCAATGAAGCCAAAACTCAACTGTAATATTTAAAATGAACTATGTACTGGTATATTTAACCTTTTTTTTTTTTAGAGCTACTGCAAATTTAGTGTTTTTTATTTAATTTTATTTATTTACAGTTAGTTTTTCGTTTATTCAACCTTTACTTATACAGGTTAGTCTCATTGAGCCACGAGGACTCATTTACAAGAGGGACCTGTTTTGAACGAAGAACACAGATGAGGTACAGACAACAATAGACAGTCGTATAAAAAACATATAAAATGAAAAGTAAATTAAAAAAAATATAATAATGAAACAAAAACAGCTACATTATAAAGTGGTGTAAAACACTAACAACAGGAACATGTCTGTTGGTTTATTGCCAGGAACTTAGCAGATGTTTAAAATCCCTTAGAGAGGTCAAGGTCGAGAGCTTCAGATATTCCATCCATTTTCTTCCGCTTATCCGGGGTCGGGTCGCGGGGGTAGCAGCCCAAGTAGGGAGGCCCAGACTTTCCTCTCCCCAGCCACTTGGTCCAGCTCCTCCGGGGGAATCCCGAGGCGTTCCCAGGCCAGCCGAGAAACATAGTCCCTCCAGCGTGTCCTGGGTCTTCCTCTGGGTCTCCTCCCGGTGGGATGTGTCCAGAACACCTCACCAGGGAGGCGTCCAGGAGGCATCCTAAACAGATGCCCAAGCCACCTCAACTGGCTCCTCTCGACGTGGAGAAGCAGCGGCTCTACTCTGAGTCCCTCCCGGATGATTGAGCTTCTCACCCTATCTCCAAGCTAGAGTCCTTCTGTCTCCCACCACCTGCACTGGGTCCAGTGGGCGTCCAAGCACAGAGCTGGCCTTCTTGATGAGCTTATCTAGCTGCTCATAAGCTGCTGCTCCAACACACAACACCATAGAAGATGGCTGATGCCACTACCGAGTCAAAGAAGGTCTTCAGGAGCACCCCATGCACTCCAAAAGACCTCAGTCTCCTCAGCAGGTAGAGTCTCTGACCCTTCCTGTAAAGTGCATCAGTGTTGTGAGACCAGTCCAGTTTATTGTTCAGGTGAACACCCAGGTACTTGTAAGAGTCCACGATCTCGATGTCCACTCCCTGGATGTTCACCGGGGTCACTGAGGTGGGTCTGTGCCTGCGGAAAATACATCAGGAATGAACAGCATGAGCATCGGATCCGTTTACAAATTAAACCCTGCTACTTGGTATGACTACTGCTGCTGAAGGTGCCTCTGCTCTCATGCCGACATCTTTCACCACATTTTATTTTCTTTCAATTCCACCCGTTTAAAATATAATTTTTCTGCAAAAGATCACCTTGAAATAACGGACAAGCAGGCCACATTGTTCACGTCTGCCATAAAGGCTTTACAACACTGTCATGGACCGCAGGGGCTCCCAAAGGCTCACGTTGTCGTGTTTTGGTCCCACCCACTCCACACCAACAGCGTGATTGGTGAATCTTCCTGTCAGGTGATCAACGACCTCGGCTTGGAGCGTCTCTGACTGAGCTCAGCCTTCTCTCCTGACCGTGAAGTCCTAACTAGTGCTAAGCTCCACCTTTCTGCCCCGAGACGCACATTTTAAAGAATCTAATTGGATAATTGTATTTTCATGGAAAAAAACCAAATAAATCTTACTCAAGTTGTTTACAGAAAATAAAGATAAATTAGCAAAAAATAAGGAAAAATACACTGAATATATATATTTAATAAACATAAATATTAAATAAGAATTTTAATGTAACATTTATATTTCATATGTTCTGATTTTTTTGGGGCCTTCTCTGAAAGCCTGGAAGGCCCTAAGGGTTTCCCACAGCGTGTGAGGAAACCCGTACATGCTCAAGGAGTATAAAGAACAAACCAATTCCACCCAGAAAGACCCCACAACAGGAGGTGATCCTATCACCTTCTCGCTGAGAGGTGCCAGCTCCAACCACTTCACCACTGTGCCACCCTAAACAGCTCTTCATGTGTTTAAATGGTGTCTTGACCCATTCCAAACCAACAAGTAACACCAAAGAGGAGCTGTTATTGTAACATATTTAAAACATTTTATACTAAAGGGTTAATAAATAGAAAATATAAGATATAAATGACAATTGGCAACAAACATGAACATGGCACATTTGTTGTCTTCCCAGAAATGATTTGTACTCAGTGTCCTTAATAATGCTACCATTTGGTTCAGTTTGTCTTCCTAGGACTGAACTTTAAGCCCGTTAAGTAAATATTCAGTGTAGAAGTGTAGTTTGGTAATGTGTCACCAGTTTCAGGGTAAAGAACAGGATGAAATTCAACTTGATCACAATGTTGTTGTTTTTTTTACCAAGGCACATTAACTGATCATTATCTGTTTTGCAAGAGCAATGATGTACAAGAGCCATAAAGCAATAATTTCCCATTTGTAATCTCATAAAATACTATGAAACAATTTCGTCAGGAGCTAAAGGAAAAAGAGCCCTGCTGTTCTCTGACCATGACTGATGGCACCAGATGGTCAACTTCTAGAGCTCAGTGTGTGTAACAATGCATCATTTATGATTTTTATTTTAATCTTTCATTCTTATGGCACACATACAGGACAATGTAAATATCTAAATATGGATATTTAACACCTATTGTACATTTAATTTATTTATTTTGTAGCATAAAGTGAAAGTGTTCCTTTTTTTTAAGACGTAAGGGCATCCATGTTTTGTGCTCTCTGGCTCATTGGGAGGAATGGTCTCCGATACTTTCACTGTATGATCAGCCTTTCCTCCAGTTCACTGTCTTTGTATGTTTTATTTAAATTGAAGATTGTGTGGACAACTCGTTTTTTTTTTTTTTAAGTTTTGTTTACAGTGACGAAATCCTATGAAAACTACATTCGCCTTATAATCTAGCTGTTTTTGCTACTTTTTTTTGCCATCTTATTTTAATTTGTAAAAAAATAATAATAAATCTGTATGCCTCTTTTATGATCGTCCACTTTTGTCATCACTCTTTGTTAAAATCAAGTCTCACTTGTAAATGAGTCCTCGAGGCTCAATGGGATTAACCCAGGGGTCTGCAACCTGCGGCTCTGGAGCCACATGCGGCTCTTTGGTCCCTCTGCAGCGGCTCTTTCAAGCTTTGACCAAAACTGGAATAAAACTGAATTTTATTGGTTGTTACAACAACTAAAAGGGCTAGTTTTAGCAGTTTTCCTGTAATTTATTTTGCAAATATATGAATACTAGAAGCATTACAAGGAGTTAAACATACTCACTTTCACTTTATGCTTTAGTTCTTCAAAGGATACATCATTTTTCTACAATTAAAAAAAATCACATAATAAAGCATAGTTTATTGTTTTAGTTTATAGAAACTGGGCAAAAACTATATTATTTTTTCCTTCTTGACAAGAATCTCGTCTTTTATTTTGTCTTAGGATGTAAAAATATCAATAAATGTTAAAAATCATTAGATATTTTTAGTTTTATAAAATCACCCCTACTATCCAGAAAAGCGCCCTCCAACAAATTTAAAGGTATTGTGGCTCCAGACACGTTTAATTTAGTGAACAAAGGGGCAGAAATGACTCTTTTGATCATAAAGGTTGCAGACCCCTGGATTAACCTGTCTAAATAAAGGTTGCAGACCACTGGATTAACCTGTCTAAATAAAGGTTGCAGACCACTGGATTAACCTGTCTAAATAAAGGTTGCAGACCCCTGGATTAACCTGTCTAAATAAAGGTTGCAGATCCCTGGATTAACCTGTCTAAATAAAGGTTGCAGACCCCTTGATTAACCTGTCTAAATAAAGGTTGCAGATCCCTGGATTAACCTGTCTAATTAAAGGTTGCAGACCCCTGGATTAACCTGTCTAAATAAAGGTTGCAGATCCCTGGATTAACCTGTCTAAATAAAGGTTGCAGACCCCTTGATTGACCTTTCTAAATAAAGGTTGCAGACCCCTGGATTAACCTGTCTAAATAAAGGTTGCAGACCCCTGGATTAACCTGTCTAAATAAAGGTTGCAGACCCCTGGATTAACCTTTCTAAA